GAGGAGGAAAAGGAGGAGGAGGAGGAGGAGGAGGAGGAGGAGAAGGGGGAGATAAGATAAGATAAGACGAAGGCGGACGGCGTCCAAGATACCGACCGCGAGGATAAAAACAAAACAAATTAAACCAACTCCTCCTCCTCCTCCTCGGCTCGACGGGCGGCCTCCTGCTCCCAGAACGGGAGCGAGTCCACCGTGAGGCCGAAGCGGGCGAGGAGTGGCCCACGCCCCATTGGCACCTGCCAAGGCGGTCCCCTGGGGAAAACGGCTCTGGCGGCAGGCACCGACGCACGCGCCTGGGGACGGTCGAGAATCGCCCGAGCCAAGTCCAGGAGATCACCAGGGACGGGGCGCTCGAGACAACTCACACTCCAGCCGTTGTATTTGGTCAACCACCTGGGAAAACGCCCCGCGAGCAACCTTGAGCGCTGCTGCTTGAGCCCCTTCCCCGCATTGTGACCATGACACACACGATCGGCGAGCTCCCTGACCCCGCCCCACGCGTAAGCACCACACGACAAACAACAAATCATACGCGGGGCGGAGACAATGGAGGCTCCCGTCTGATCAAAGACATGGCACACTCGCAAATTATGCTGAGACAACCTCATCAAAATTGCAAGTTCAGGATCACACGGCCCCGAATTAGCTACGGCTGAGAGCACGGCTCTGAAACGCACAGCAAGGGGGGGGATGGGGCGCTCAAGGGGGCGGCCCTGGCGAGGGCCCAAACCAGGCTCCAGGCGTTTAACAGGCAAGCCCTCCGAGTCCTCCCACCCCCGCTCCCGCATAAGAAGCCCCTGCCGCCCAACCCACTGGCCCAACTCCCGCCCCAAGAGTCGTAAACCAGCGATTTCACGAGCGGCCTGATCGACCGAGGGATGCTTACCCGCCCCTCGCTTCGCTAGGGCGTCGGCAATGGCGTTAGCCTTACGCTCCCAGCGAGTGGTGACTCCTCGCTCCACGTCCGCCTCCGTGCAGTGGGCCTTCGTTTTGTGGACAACCAGCCCATCCTCGAAAGCCGAGTGCACAGAGGTCCACATGTGAGCCTGGCCACAACGGGCACTCGTGGAGCGAACTCTCGACCGAGCACAAGAAATCGTAGCTGCACAATCGGTCCACACACCCTCGGGGGACAACGCAATCTGGCCGAGCATCTGATACGCATAATCCTCGCCATCCTTGGCGAGCTGGAGGGGGGCAACATCCCACGGGACGGGGCCGAAAGCTCCAGAGATCATGGCACCAGTGTCATCGACCGAGATCACCGCCCACCCCGCTCTTCTTAGGAGCGGGTCCGAGGGGAAAAGGGCAGAGCCGTCGGTAAAAAGTTTACCAGTTAACAGGCCTCCCTCGGGCCTCCGAATCCAGAAGACCTGGCAATTTTCGGACCCGAGAGGCGGAGGGACCAGCTCCCTGGGAGACGGGAAAATGCCCGAAGCAAAAAATTCCCCAGGGTCACCCAGCTGTCGAATTAGCTTGGCTGCAGCTAACGCTTCATCCGACAAGTAATGAGAGCGATCAGCAGCCCAAGCATCACAAACAAATCTACGGTGGAACGTGGTCCCAGGGGCCCCCATGCACAGCCTGCAAAGGTTGCACGACACCATGCCGTGCCGCTGCAGTCGGTCCTGGGTCCAATGAGGAGAAGGAGGAGGAGGAGGAGGAGGGGGGGAGGAGGAGGAAAAGGATGATGATGATGATGATGATGATGATGATGGTGATGATGATGATGCTGATGATGATGATGATGAGACGATGACGATGACGATGACGATGACGATGATGATGATGATGATGCTGATGTGATGATGATGATGATGATGATGATGATGATGATGATGATGATGATGATGATGATGATGATGATGATGATGATGAATGATGATGATTAGGAAGAGGAGGAGGGGGGAGGGCGGAGGAGGAGGAGGGGAGGAGGAGGAGGAGAAGGAGGAGGAGGTGGAGGAGGAGGAGGAGGAGGAGGAGGAGAGGAGGAGGAGGAGGAGGAGGAGGAGGTGTGGAGGAGGAGAGGAGGAGGAGGAGGAGGAGGAGGAGGAGGAGGAGGAGGAGGAGGAGGAGGAGGAGGAGGGAGGAGGAGGGAGGAGGAGGAGGTGGAGAGGAGGGGAGGAGAAGAAGCAGGAGGAGGAGGAGGAGGAGGAGAAGCCCATTTGGCCTCTGGCGGGCCCGCGCATCCCGATCGATCCATCGGGGTCGGTCGCGCCTGCCGCCCGATCGATAGAGGTGGCAAGGCGCATCGCGTATCGGCCAGCCCGCGAGGCCGGGCTCACGCGTGCCGCGCGCCGTCATCTGCGGCAGGGGGCCATCCGTGCCTCCCTGCTCCTTGCCGCAGACAGCGGCGCCAGCGGCCGCGCATGGTTTCCTTCGAGCGGCTTGCAACGGTCACGCCGAACGCGGCCCTGCCTCGAGATTCTGGGGACACTCCTCGGAGCCTTTGTGCGGCGGCGGCGACCGTGCCCGTTTTGCGGGCAAAGAGAAGACACATGAGAATACAACGCGTTGCAGTTCTCAAGCACTAGTAGCCACCTCGGGTCTGCGAGAATGCATCGGGCTACAGGCGCAGCAATTGCCAGAGCGTGATGAAGACCTAGCCCCCCTCCACAGACGATACTCCATGAGCTGATGTCGGCAGTGCGGCGGATTGAGGCCGAGATCAAGGCTATGCGGCAAGCGGCTACGAACGATTCTACTATACGTGTCGAAGCGCCAGTCTACACACCTGTCGGAGAGCCTTTGCAAATGTTTTGGCCTACAGCTTGTGATCCGACGCAGCCGTTTCAGGATTTGTCGGTCATCGATAAGTTGGGCAGGGGAGATTGTTGGCATCAAGAATTCTGGATTCAAGAATCTGGGTTCGTTGCGGGAGAGAGCCATGGGGCTGAAGCAGACGAAGTCCATTACGAGAGAGGTGGCGCAACGAAGGACGAGCCAGACACCATCAGCTACGAGGGAGGTGGCAATACGAAGGACGAACCCGATGCCATCAACTTCGAGGGGGGTGGCAAAGCGAAGGACGAGCCAGCCGCCATCCGCCACGAGGGAGGTGGCGCAACGAAGGACGAGCCAGACGCCATCAGCTACAAGGGAGGAGACAGCATGGAGCCGGACGCCATCAGCCACGAGGGAGGGCCCCAAACGAAGGACGAGCATGACGCCATCAGCTACGACGGAGTGGACGCCACCAGATGGGAGAGCAGCCAGATCCCATCGAGCATCCGAAAGCCATGGGACATCTACGCGGAGGACCTCGAGGATTCGCTCAATGGCCTCAGCGGCACAACGGATAAGGCAATCCTGCGAGCACGCCTCGATACCGTGCAAGCAGCGGGGGCCCGTGCGGCCTTCGAGCGGCTCCCGAAAGAGGAGCAGCACGCCTTCGAGGAGGTCTCGATCGTCGAGCTCGCGGCCTACGCGCACTACAGGCGCCATTACGCCCGAGGCCGTGGCGCGGACGGAGCAGAGCAGGGCGCCCAGGCCTGGAGCTCCCTGGACAGGGAGGAGATGGCGGAGTGGACTACCGAACGCCCAATGGACGAACTCGCCGCGGACCCGCGCCTGGCGCCGTACCTCCAGCGCGGCCGGCCCCGCAGGCGCAGACCGAGAAGAAGGGTCTCGTTCGCCAACGACATGAACGCGCGGCCCCAGGACGACTCGCACGGCGAGCACACCGACGGCCGCCACAAGGCCTCGACACCCCCGCGGGGCGAGGGGGTAGGCCCCAGGGCGCGGCCGCGCTCGTACTCTGTGAGGGCACGAGATCGCTTTGCTCAGTGTCTTGGAGCCTTCTTGGTGTTGGCACTTCAGCACGCCGAACAAGAAACTACCAACCAACCTTGCGAAAATCCGACGACCCCTTGGGGTCACAAGGTGTGAGATGCACCCCAGCAGGGCGAGGGGTTAGGCCCAAGTTCGCGAAGAACCAATTCCGCCAGCACCTGGACTACGACCTCTGAGCGAGGGGGGAGTTCGAGTCCCACCGCAGGGGCCAGGACTACTCTCCACCTCCACCAACCTCGAGTCCTCGGGAGGATATGGGTAGGGTGGAGGCAGGCGTAGGGCCCCCACAGGTGATCGACTAGCGGTTTCGGAGTCACCCATTCCGCCGTCAGCGCCAGGAGGGAGGAGGAGGAGGAGGAGGAGGAGGAGGAGGAGGAGGAGGAGGAGGAGGAGGAGGACGGGGAGGAGGATGAGGAGGGGGGGGGAGGAGGAGCGAGGGTGGCGAGAGGAGCCAGCAGAGGGGGCCCCGGGGGGCGAGGCCGTGCCCGCGAGCCGCGTGCTCTCCCTCGGCCGGCGTGAACCCCGGGCCGGGCCCTCGTGCTCGCGGGGCGTCCTCCTGCTGCTCGAGAGGCGGGGCTCGGGAGGCGGGGCTCGGGAGGCGGGGCCCGAGAGGCGGGGCTCAGAGGCGGGGCCCGAGAGGCGGAGCTGCTGCTGCTCGAGGGGCGGGGCGCGGAGGCCACCCCTCGGAGCTCCGTGCGCTCCGCAGCGCGGCCTCTCGCCGGCCCCCATCCGTCCCCGCTCTCCCAAAGGGGCCCGGGGACACACACACACACACACAGAGAACTACACACAGACAAAAGGATTCCCCCACACGTTCCCATACTGTCGGGGTTCTCGTCCTTCTCCCTGCTCCCCATATTTTCCGATACTCTCCTGGGAGCCGGCGGTGGATTGTGTCTGTGTGTTTCGTTCCCTCATCCTCCTCCTCCCGCCTCTGCGCTCGCCCCCGGTCTCCGCCCCCCGCTCCCGCTCCGCCGCGGCGTCCCTCCCCTCGCGCATCTGCTCTCTCTGCCTCTCTCTCTCTCTCTCTTCCTCTCCGTTCCTCTCGCCCTTCTCTTCTCCGTTCCTCTCCTTCCTCTCTCTTCCTCTCTTCCTCTCTTTCCTCTCCTTCCTCTCTCTTCTCTCCCCACCCCGTTCCACCCCCGTCTCGGCATCCCCCTCGGCCATCCCCGCCGCCTCATCGCCCCTCCACCTGGTCAGTCTCGGTCCTCTCCCCAGAAGCGCGTGGTGCCCTTCGCAGGTACCTTCCACTGCCTGAGAACCCGGTACTTGCTGACAGACTCTTTCCCCTCCCTGTTGGCGCAGACGACGCTGCCGAACTCGCGCCTGCGCATCCATCACTTCATCCTTCTCCTCCTCAATCTCCTCTCCCTAACCTGACCAGACAAGAACGGGAAGCGCCAGTTGAGTCCGCTTCGCTCGTAAGACGGAGCAAAAACGAAGTGACAGGAGAACGAGAACGGGTAGGAGAACATCAGCGTGAAGACGAGGAGGACAGCATGGATGAGCTCTGGGGAAGGAAGAAGACGGCGATGAGAACGATGTGGACAGGGCGGGACGGGGACGACGGAGAGGGCGACCAGGAGAAAGGCCAAGTGAAGAAAAGCGAGGAGGCCGGCGAGGAGGACGAGGGGAAGGACGAGGACGACGAGGAGAGGATGGACGAGGAGAACGAGGAGAAGGACGCAGCCAAAGTGGGGGCCCCTGGTACCCGTCGGGGGGCAGATGGGGTCAAACGGGGGGACTGCCAGCGAACGAGGCCGTCTCCGAGCCTCCGCGGGGCACGCGGGGAGCCCCTCGCGCGCTTCCTGGGAGTCTGTCGGGCTCCTCCTCCTCCTCCTCCTCCTCCACCTCCTCGTCCTCCTCCTCCTCCCCCTCCTCCTCTTCCCCCCCCTCCTCCTCCTCCTGCTCCTCCTCCTCCTCCTCCTCCTGGCTCCTCTTGGCGACGCCTGGGCTTTTTGTAGACCCACTGGGCGCGACCACAAAAATTTGGGGGGTTCTTATCGAAAGCTGGACGAGGGCTGCTAAAACCGTGGCTGCTAGAACGGCCCTCCCGGGAGCAGAACTTCCCGGAATGAGGCGCGGCACGCGAAATAGTCAACGGGCTTCTTCCCGTAAGGACGAAGACAACTTCCGGTCGATTTTAGCAGCCACGGATTTAGCAGCCCTTGCCCGGCTTCCGATCTTGGGACCAATCCGAAACCGCCACTGTTGAACAACCTTCCTTGACACCGTTCAGCCTAGCTCCCAGAGCGACCACAAGATACACCTACCGACCAAACAGCGTACATCAACATTGCCCAGTTACACCACATTCCTTTCACTACATAGCTTGTACCACATAGATTACGCCGCGTGGCTTGCACCAACAATCGTACGCCAACAAACCTGCACCACATGACTTGCACCAGAAAGCGTGCACCACATAAGTTGCACCACGTGGCTTGCGCCACACAGCTTGCACCAAGCGTCTTGCACCACACTGCTGGCACAGCATAGCTTGCACCACACAACTTACATCGCGCAGCTTGTACTACATACATTGCAGCACATATATTGCACCACATTGCTTTTACAACATAGCTTGCATCAATTAGCTTACACACGATATATCTTGCACCACATAGCTCGCTCTTCAAGAGTGTAACAAGTTTGGGTGCACGCAGGCCAGCATGATATGTAATATGCATGATCCATATCCAGTTATCCCAGCTCCCCCTCGTCCTGCTCCATCTGTCCTATTCATACGCTGTCGCTCTACCTTGAGCATGGCGTCCTGTCTGTGCGGGTGCGGTGCAAACCGAACACACACACATAAGATCATCTTGGCCAACATATATGGACCTATAGCTCATGAACACGGCTAGCACACATCCACAGAAGGATAACAGCAGATGGGAAACAACGAACTGATACCTGCTATTCATCGTCCTCATCCAGCCCTACTTGTCCTTCTCATCCCCCTCGTACTCCTGCAACTCCTCCTTGGCCAATTCTTCTCGGGTGCATCCTCTGATCGGGCCTCGGGATTAACACAAACAATTCAGAACAGTCCTGGCTAATCATGGGCCTGTTCCAACGACAGCAATGCTCTGCAGTCTTATCCGTTACGTCCCTCGCCCCTCCTCCGACCTCTTCCTCCTTCTCTTCCCCGGTGATGCTAGCAATGCAAGACTCGTGACCTGGAACCTGACTACCAATCGCCCTCCCCGCGACGCCTCGTCATGTCTTGCCACTTCTTCATGGGCACGTCAATGACCCCGATATTCGGCCGGTCTGGGCCGCCCAGGCGCCCGTGCACCAGCGTCAGGTACTCCTTCTGCATCCTGCTATAAATCTGCCAGGGAAGCGGGGCTCCCGCGGGACCCGCCAGAGCAGTGGCCTCCTTCTTCTCCGAAGACTTCTCTGCCTCCTCCCACCCTCCTCCTCCCCCTCCTCCTCCTCCTCCTCCTCCTCCTCCTCCTCCTGCTCCTCCTCCTCTGCCTCCTCCTCCTCCTCCGACTCGCTCTCCTACTCCCCTGCTCCGCCTGCCCCGCCTGAAGCGAGGCACACCTACGACACTCAAGCTCGAAAGCATCTTATCCCAGTCCGTATCCATCAACGACTGGCAAAATGTACCTCCGCGGCATGCACCGACGTTGGCTGCGGCGCGTGCCACACAATCTCCCCCTCTTCCTCCTGCTCCTGCTCCTGCTCCTGCTCCTCCTCCTTTCTCAACTCGTCTGTCTCTTTTTGTTCCGGCTGAAAGCCCTGCCGGCCAGCCTACGCCATAGAACGGCATCGCTATGCAGCTGCGGTGGTGCCGTTCCACACCAAATCAGATTTCCCCAAACCCCTCGTCAATCCTCTAGACGCGGGCTCCACCGAGACATTGGTGAGAGGCATCATTCCCATCATCCGCCCTCGTGCCCTGTGGCCCGAGCTGGACTGTCCTCAAGTTTCTTTGAATTTTCCCTCCTCAATCCTGAGTGAATTCAGGGATCTACTGACCCGGGTCCGTCCAAACCTGGGCCAGTCAGGCGTCGCAGGATCTTGCGAAACCCTGCAGGATCTGGCGCGCAAGCCTGGGTCGATGCACACCTGGCTCTGCAAAATCCTGCGAGATCCGGCTCTCTGGCCAACCCCCTTTTGCAGCGACCCCCGTCTCTTGCGCCCCGAGAAATGCACGACTCACGGGCCGGGCCCAATAGAATCCTGGATCTGCCGGGGCGTGCCGCGGCTCTCCTGGGGCTCCCCACGTGTTCTCGCGCACTGCGCTCTCGGTCGTACGGCCCCAGAGCGGACCAAGAGGCCGAAGGGGGCCCCCAGTCGACGAGAGATCGCTCCAAGGCGGCATCCAACGGCCGAAGAGGCCGCCCCCGCATCAAGAGGGCTCCAAGAATGTGCTCATCGTGTGCGATCACTGCGAATGCCTATGCTGAGACGGCCTTGGAGGTTTGTAGTGATCCGTCTGAGTAGATTACCCAATTGGTGCAAGTGGGTAGTCTTTCGTCGTCGATTGTAAGAGTCCCTTGCGTAGCTGGGTGGAGCGCGATGTCGGAGAGGTCGCGATGCAGCCCCGTGCGTCTGTTGGCTATGTGGATGGAGGTCAGAAGATGTAAATGAATGGACTGTTGAAGATGGTGGTTCATATTCCGCGTCGTTCGAGGTGGAGAAGATGCTTCGCCTTTGCTGCAATGCTGGTGGCTTGTACACCTGAATATGAACTCTTGGTGGGTCAGGTATGGGATACCATATACGATCAATGCTGACATCATGCATGGGTCCTAGCAAGTGAAGTTGGTTGTGTGAGACTGCTGTTTGCCACTGAGGCTAAATTGGCAACAATTTGTTCGGTCCTAGTGACCGTGTATCAGGCAATGGCGCTACGTAAGTGTCATCCGTGCTCTCGAACACTGCCGGTGCGTGTTGGGGAACATGCCTAGGAGGTGAGTGGGGCCTTGCGGTCGATCACTGGGACTCGACCGTACTATGACCTTCCATTGTAATGCCGATCGTTGGTCTTTTGCAAACGGCTAGGGTGCTTCGCATTGGGCAGCCGTCTCCTGCTGCTGCGGTGACGTGGCGCACTGCGGAGCGTCGCCCATTGGAAGCGAGTGTGTAGAAGCTTCGCCGCTTCGGTTTGGAGTGTAGTGGCACTCTAAGTGAAAACACTTTTGTTGGTGTGCGAGGGGGTCCCTTTGGACGGGTCAACTCGTCATGGTGAGTCGTGTGGTTTTTGCTGCTCAGGTGTGGTGTCAGAGAAGTGCTGTATGGGTATGCGCGTAATGCTGCGTGGTGCTGTTGCGTCGTCCGTCTTGTCAAGGATGCCGTCGAGGTCGTCTCAGATGATGCCTTCTGGTCCGCCTTCTAGTCGACCTGCTTAATCATCTGCTTGCTCTTGCTGTCGTTGTCGTCGATATTCATATTCATTATTATTCAGTTCGCATCGCCTCCTCGATGTCGTGGTCGAGATCTGGATGTGGTTGTTCTTGTCCTGGAAGTGAGTATTGCTGTGTCTGCTTGTGCTCTGCTTTTGCGTGGTGTAGTAGCGCGGTTAGTTAGGCTTTTCTCTCTCTGCGAGCCATTTTCTGATTGCTCCTGCGCTGTCATGTATTTGCGCAACGTGCTGTGCTGGTTCTGGATGTACGCGTATATACCTTGCTCGTATTGTTCTGCGGTGGTTATCCGCTGTTGGTAGTGCTGGTTGGCAACTCGGAGTTGCTCAGCGGCGCTTGCCATGATGAGGCGTGCTCCTTTTTGGTCGTTGTACTTGGTCCGGAAGCAGCTCTAAGCTTGCTGGAATCGTTGTGCTGTCTGTACCGCTTCTTGGGCTGCAGTGACCTCTTGGTCAAAGGCTGACTGACCACTGCGTCCCCGTGGCTCTGGTGCTGTTGCGCGTACCACATGAATTGTCGCATGTCCTGGGTTGCCGCCCTTGCTCTAATGAGTGTATATTTTGCTCTGCCAAGAGCATGTAAGGCCTTCCCTTTGTAGGGCGGGTGTGTTTGCAGAATGTTGTGCTCCATCCGTTCTTGAATAGCTTGTTCTGCTCGTTGTATGCTGTCTTCGTAGGTGTCGCTTCTCGTGATTCGATGGCTGCTCTTGTCGCAATCTCTCTTGCATATCGCCAGAGGTCCGCGATGATGGTCTCTGACTTGTTGTGCGATGCTTGGTGTGCCCGGTGCGTCGTAGAACATTAGTCGCTTTGTCTTTGTGTTTGAAAGCATCTGAACTGTGCGTGGCATTGAAGTGCTTGTTGCGTGAGGCTCTCTGATGCAGCTGTTTTTGCTAATTCTGGAATGTGGTGTGCTCTGCGTCGCGTAGTGCTGATCATTATTGTCGTATTGCTGCTGCCTTGGCCGCTTGCATTCGTAGTTCTGCCTGTCGAACCGCTTAGCTGTGTTCTCTTGTTTCGTGGTAGTCGTTGGATCGGTGGCCGCTTGCTTCTTGTAGTTGTCGCATGGCTTCGTATGCTGCTTATAGCTGTTGCTGCGATCTACTTTCCTTCGCGATGCCGTGTTGGGATGCCCTGAGCTCCGCGATGGTCCCGTCGTTGGCTTTGAGCTGATCGTAGGCAGGTTTCAATCGTGTCTTACGTTTCTGCCTTTCGTGGTCTGTTGGAGTGAGCGGTTCCAGTGATGGTCGTTCCATTGGATAGCCGGGCTGTGCGTCATGTGCTGGTGACTGTGGACTGGGCGTGTGCTGTAGGTTGTTGATCAGCTCCTTCTCGATGTTGGCGTAAGTCTCGGTCTCGTGAATGTTGTATTCGCGTTTCTGTTGAGCTTGCATCAGTGATGCTACTATGATATTGGTGCATGCTGCGTAGTCGTCTTTGAGTGGTCGTATATACTGTAGCTGCTCAGCTTCGGGCTTCTGGTCCAGTAGTTGCCTATTGTTCACTGCAAGCTCATGCCGGAATTGGCTAGCCCCTTGGCCTGCGCTTTCCACTGCCAAGACATGTGTTGCAAGCTTGTGCAAGACATCAATTTTTGAAGTGTACCAAGTTCCAGCTTCTAGTGGCGTTGCTCGAAATTTGTCTTTGGACGAACCGTCGTTTTGGCAAGCTTCTGGTATGCTGTCGATGGGTGCCTGATTCTCCCGTGTAGTGTGCGCTGTGCGTTCGGGACTGTTGCCGAAGCTTGGTTGTGGCACAAAAGTCGTTGCTCTGTGCTGGGGGAGCTGCAGGTTGTTTTAGTTTGTGCCTGGGTTTAGCTGGCCTTTGGGGCCCAGGAGTGTGAGGCTACGGTGCCCAGTATGGCGGCGCAATCGCAATATGGTAATAGGTGACACCTTCTTGCTGCTGGTATGGTGGTTGTGTCGCGTGGATTGGCTCATGCTATGCTGGGTAAACATGTCCATTGTGGCCGATGAATTGCCAGGTTGGGACGTTCACTTTGCTGCTGTTGTGCCGCTGTTGGTACGTCCCTTTGCCTTTGCCTTTGCCTTTGGACTTGGGGGGCTGTGTGTACCTGGACATTGTGTCGATCGAATGTCGTGGTGGCTGCTGTGCACTGTGGTGATGGGTCTAGAAGTGAGTGAGCTGTGTTGCTGCTGGTGGATCGATTGGTCGAGGGGTATGCTCGCTGAGGCCACTCGCAAGAGCGTTCGTGCAGCTGCTCTCTTTTCCGTCTCCCTGCGGTGCCAGGCAGTGTTTGAAGTCGACGTCGGTGGCGATGCTGGGCCAAAATAGCCGTGCACATGGTGCTGGACCGCGTGGCCAAAATGGCCGTGTTAGTGGCACGGTGGGCGTGCAATGCGGATGTCGAAGCCGCAATGCGTGACGTAGGATGAAAGAGAAGAAACAAGATGTAATAGGTAAGGGTGTCATGTAGGTATGGAGGGTTATTGGATGTAAAGGGTATGGAGCTTCTGTCGCGGCTGGCTCCATGTGGGCGGGCGCGCTGCCACCGCTATGGAACACCGCGGCTCCTCCTCCTCCTCCTCCTCCTCCTCCTCCTCTTCTTCCCTCTCGTGATGCTCTCCCTCCCCCTCCCCCAAGTGCTCCCCGAAGGCTTTCCGCTACGGCTCGGGGAACACGTAGTCGGATAGCTTGTCCAAGCTCTGGCCACATCGTTCGGCCACATCGGCGAATATACAAAAAGCAGAGGCCGACGGTGATTCGCCGTAGGCGTCTTCGACAATTTCCCAAGTCGGCTTACAATCACAAGCGATATCAAACTTCCAAACTTCCCCTGTGAATCCTCGCAAGGATTGTTTCCAGCCAGAGTATCTACATGGACCAAGGTATACTATCCAGAATATGCTTTACAATTCGAGGGCGTCCTGCTTCGTGCATCGTGCCACCTGGATCTGCCAACTTGGGGCCCAGGCGGGGCAATCCATACTTCTGGAGAGCATCGTCGGCAAAAACTCTACAACTTCAGCACTGCAACCCGTCCTCCTCCTTCTCCTGAGATTTCCGTGGCCCGCCGAGCTGCAGACCCCCGAGGTCCTGTGGGCGGAATTCTGCGTCGCGAAATGCTGGAACGCCTCCCACGAGTTGCCGAAAATCTGCACGCCGCTGGTGCACAGGTCCAGGCCTCAAAGGCACAGATCGGTGACCGTAACCCGAGGCGCGAAGTGGAGTGTCCTCAGGTTCCTTAGGATCCTGTCTGGAAAGGTGTAATACGTAGCACCCCGCAAATGCGGATAAGAATGAGGGGGCGGTGGGGACGTCGGCCGTCTGCGAGACTCCGGAGAAGCCCGCCGCAGGCGCCAAAGTTTCACACATTATATACAACGAGATCGCCGCAAGCGCCGATTTTTTCTTCAAACCAATGTGGATCGGTGGGTCGCGGGTGGGTCGCGGGTGGGTCGCGGGGTAAGTCGCGGCTGGGTCGCAAGACGGTGGCGGGTGGGTCGCGGGTGGTTCGCGAATAGATCGCGGACTGGGTCGCGGGAGGGTCGCGGGGTGGGCCGTGGGTGGGTCGCGGGTGGGTCGCAGGGTGGGTCGCGGGTGGGTCGCAAGTGGATCGCGGGAGGGTCGCGGGTGGGTCGCGGGCTGCGTCGCGGGGTGGGTCGCGGGGTGGGTTGTGGGGGGCGTCGCGGGTGGGTCGCGGGGGGGACGACGACAACAAACAACAACAACAACAACAACAACAACAACAACAACAACAACAACAACAACAACAACAATTACTAGCACGTGGGGACACTCCGTTCTCACCAGTGCCAGGGTTTTCATAGGAGGCGGGCAATACCCCCACTTTGTGGGGGGGCCGGTTCAAGCTCTACCAAATTTCCAAACGACTCTTCGCCACCACCCACACCCAGCTTCCCGCCCTATGACGTTCGGACACTTCACTTCGTGGCATGCGGACGACCGTGGCTACTATTCAGGGCCCCGCGGCCGACGACGACGGCGTGCGCGCGCGAAGAAAAAACGAATGTGTCCCGCATGGTATTATTTGACAGGGATGATGGCCCTGGCAGGTGCGCAACCGTTGTTGCAGAAGTTCGAAAAAGTTGCTCGCAAAAGCCCGTTTGACAGAAATGTTTAAAAAGTGTTGGGTTTCCTACGAATCCGCAAGAGCGCGCGGGATGAAATTTTGACATTTTTTTTGAAAAACCATTGGTTTTTGATGTTTTTATGTTAAAATCGTTACGAAAACTAAGGTTTTGGAAGGATTTCGTCTTGCGCGCGCGAATGTCCACTTTACCTTATTTTTTGCAAGGGATTCTTGAAGTTTGGATATGTTAGAACAAGAAATGTCCACTTTAGCTTATCTTCTGCAAGGGAAAACCGATCGTAACAACACAACCGGATCCGGACCAACCCGTTTTGCCTGAGACTTCCTCGCGAAAATGATGAAAACGTGGCTGCGGCCTAGGCGCGGCGGGGGGGTTGTGCACCAGGGGCCCCAACAATAATTATTCTTTAGAAGTAATAATGTTCAACAACAACAACAACAACAACAACAACAACAACAACAACAACAACAACGACGACGACGACGACGACGACGACAACAACAGCAGCAGCAGCAACAACAACAACAACACCAACACCAACACCAACACCACCACCACCAACACCAACACCAACAACACCAACACCAACACCAACACCAACACCACCAACAACAACAACAACAACAACAACAACACCAACACCAACACCAGCACCAACAACAACATCAACAACAACAACGCAACAATAATAACTATGAGCACGCATTCTCACTTCAGCCACGCACCCAGGGACAATGAATGACCGTTCGGCCCCCTCACTCTGACTCTTCAAGGGCCCACAGCCCCAGGTTCGGGGCGCTCCCAGGCGCTCGTGGGGCTTGTCGCGTGGTGTCGCGTGTTGTCGCGTGATTTCACCAAAATCAAAAGGCACCGAAGCGACCAATAGTGTCCCAAGAGGCCTCCGAGATGGTCCAAGAGGGCTCCGAATCGGCCAAAAGCCGCTCGAATAGGCCCAAGATTGCCTCGGGGCGGCCAAAACCGCCCCCCGGGCTCCAAGAGGGCAACATCAGTGATGTCCCTACGTTTGTTGACGGATGTTAGCGTTCTCGCCTTTCTGGGCGTCCGACGCCCTAAAAACCCAGAAGGCCCCCGAGAGGCCCCCAAGACGGCTCAAGAGGACACCCGAGACGGTCCTCCTCCTCCTCCTCCTCCTCCTCCTCCCCCTCCTCCTCCTCCTCCTCCTGAATCATCGTCCCCCTCCCCCCGTCACGCGGGGGAGGGACGGGGCGAGGAGGGGGAGGCATCAAGGATAAGAGGGGGGCGGGAGGCGGCCACGTCCCAAAGGGCTCGTCACGCGCGGCCGCCTCCCTCCCTCTCGTGGCACTCCAGTCTCCGCTCCTGCGCCCGCTCCTCCTCGTGCGGCATCGTCCTGGTCCTCCCGCTGGGTTCCCTCTCCTGCCTCTGCCTCCTCCCCTTCCCTCCTCGTCCTCCTCCTCCTCCGTCCCCCCCTCCCGGCTCCCTCGCCCCTCCTCCTCCCACTCTCTCTTCAGCCTGGTCATCCTCTTGGTCATCGTCGTCATCCTTCCCCTCCTCCTGAGACTTGCCTCCTCACCTGCTGGTTCCTCCCGGTGCAGTGCAATACAGTGCTGCTGTTTCCTCCCGGTGCTCCTGCTGGTCCTCATCCCCCACCCCCACCCCTCCGACTCCTCCTGCCCTCGCCCGCACGCCCGCGCCCCGCTTGTCGAGGCCCGGACGGTGACATATCCCGCGCTGTCTGGGCTCGTCCTTGCTCGCCATGTCGAACCGCTGGTGGGCAACATGCACGAAATTCTGGGGCGACTTCTCCCAAAGGCCGTCGTCGTCCGTCCTCACCTCAGGATGAGGGTGAGGAGGGGGACAGGATGAAAACGACGACGACGCGCAAGACGACCAGGAGGGGGGTGACACCGACGACGACGACGACGACGACGACGACGAGCAAATCGAACAACGTGAGCAAGGGAAGCAGAAGCAGGATCGGGAAGAGGAGGAGGGAGAGGGCCACGAGAGGAGAGGCAATGGGAGAGGGTCCGCAACGAAGAAAATAACGGAACAGGACGCATGTAGAGGTCGAGCATCCGAGAAGCAATGCAAACATACAAATCATAGTAAACAACGATAAAGAGAAACACAACAACGCAGAGAACACACAGAAGCACGCACAGAAATAACGCACATAACGCACAACAATGCAACAACACCGCGCAGCAACACAACAACGCAACACATCTGCCAGTACTCAAAACACACATTATCGCCACACGGCCGGATAACTAGAATAGCGAGGTGTGTTTGCCAGCTGCCGTCCACAGAGACAAAGCAAGCCCGCAAGACATGCCTCGGGAAGGGAAGCAAGGACGGAGAAGAGAACGGCCATCCTCGAGTCCGCCAAAGGCCATCCTCGATCCCACCGAGCCGCAATTCTGTCGCCTCTTCGCTGCATGTCGTCCGTCACCTGGACCCACGGGTGCAGGAGTGGCCCCAAGCGTACCGCTTACTGCAAAGAGTCGCTGGTGCGCAGTCTAAGGGCGCCACGAACATGCCAGGAGGCTTGGAGATGGCGATGAAGCTATCAGACTCGGCAAGCTTCTCGACGTCCCACCTCCCGTTGCCGCTGTCATGTGCCTTCCTCTCTGAGAGTGTGTCCTGTGTATTGTCGCACTTGCTTGCAATACCTTCTCCGTCCCTGTCACTGGGAAAGTTGCGTACTCCCATGCTTCAGGCCAAGTGAAACGACGTGAGGCGGTGCTAGAAAAGAGGCATTGCAGGCAGACCAGGGCAGAGGCATGCATCGCAAGATAAGTAAGGTAAGTTCCCATGTCGCCAATTTTTTATCCAACAGAAGGCCTGCATATCTCACACAGCTGCGAACCCGCGAAGAGAGCACATGGAAACTAGAACAATTCCCCATTGAACGCGCCACACCGGCAATTCGTGCACGACCCGCGGGTGAACAGACCGCGCGATGCACTGCCCGTGAGCAAGGCCTGTCCGGGATCCGTCGAAACGTGGCGTGCCGGGCCCGGATGGCACACGCCACCGCCCGATGAATAGCTGCGCGAGCTCGCTGCTCCGCCACGAGGCTGGGAAAGGAGCAAGGGAAGAGGGAAGGGGAGAGGGCGAAAGAGGAAGGGAGAAAGCAGTGGCGCTATGGCTTCAGCGCGCTGGCCTCCTTCCTCCCATTCGCGCGAGAGAGCAGGTAGAAGAGATGCTGAGGATGAGATAGGGGCCGCGGCACGTGAACAAAATGGCAGAGGAAGAGGAGCGAGCAGAAAGTACAGTGGAGGCCAGTCCACAAGAAACCTTCCACGAGAAACCCGGCCCTGAGACCCCAGGACGTCCATTCAGTGTGGAAGCACCACGCCTTCCATAGCACAGCCATCGAAACCCGAGAAACTCAGGGCACCCTGGAGGCAAGCAGGGTGTTTCTTGGCATGGGCCTCCACTTGTAAGAGATGCTGAGGCTGAGATTCGACGGCGGCTTTGGATAAGGAAACCTTGGATAAGGAATCCAGGGTCTGGCAGCTAGTGAAAAGCCGATCGTGGATCGGCCATGGGTATAATCGCCGCCCTCATTGGATAAGGAATCCTCCAAAGTCTGGCGCCTCCTGGGACTATTCCTTAACGCACGCCTCCACCGTAGGGGCCGCGGCAAGGAACCACAGGTGGCAGAGGACGAGGAGCGAGGAGAAGAACGTAAGCATGTGAGGGCGCTCCCCGCGTCCGAGACGATGCTTTTTCCGACAGGGCCGAAGAAGAGGGCTCGACCATAAGAAGCCTTCCACGAGCAACCCAGCCCTGAGGCCCCAGGACGTCCTCTGACTCTGGGTGCGGGAGCGTCACGCCTTCCATGGCAAAGGTATCGAAACCCAGGCAACCCAGGGCGCCCTGGAGGCAAGCAGGGTGTTTCTTGGGTGGGCGCGGGCTTCTCGAAACTTCGATACGGCACCCCAAATGCACTCGGGCGGAACAGAAAGCACTCGACAGGGGGGGAGAGAGAGAGAGAGAGAGATAGGGAAAGAGAGAGAGAGAGACAGAAAGAGAGAACGAGAGAGACAAAAAAAAGAGGGAGGATGAGGATAAGATTTACCCGACACAAGTGCGGCCCTTCTGCGCTACTGCACATGGCTCCCTGTGTGAAATGCACCAGAATGGTAGGGCCCCCCCGGGGCCATGACATTGGTTTCTGATAAGACTAATAAAAGGAAGCAGGCGTGACAATTACACGTGGGCGACGGCTTCTCGAGGCTTTGACACAGAACACGCGCCCGAACTGCAAAAATGCCCATCAAGGCGCAATAAACCTTTGCGTGTGCAGAGCTCTACGGCTTAATTAACCACAAAAGCACGACAGCGCTAATGCAATGCAAACAGGAAAGACGCTTGGAGCGAACAGCATCGGCACTCTTTATCATCTGCGCCGCAGCGGCCCGGGCGAAAGGAGCCACATGGCCTTGGGCAGAGGACACCCGGACCCGGCTAGGCGCAGGAGAGGGGCCCAACAGGGAAGGGGCGGAACGGTGCCCGATGCACTTCGCAGCCACGTAGGGCCCTGGGGCCCCGAAGTAGCCGCAAGGTCTGGTGCGATCGATCCGCTAGCCAGGGCCTTCTTCTCGGGCTTTTCGACGCTCCTTGGCGATCGCCGATTCGCGTCCCGACTCCGATGTGACCCGCGTCTGAAGGTCAGGACAGATGCACAGCTTCCCGCGGACTCTGCTTGAGCTCAAGACAAGATGACGATCGGCCACCACCTGATCAGGATTGGCAGCCCTCGCGCGGTACTTTTCTTTGGACCTGCCAATCCCTACGAGCGACGCCCATGCCGGCCAAAATCGGGACGTTGGCTGGATCACACACGGCCGCATGCTCGAGGGGCTTGAAACACTTCTCTCGGCGGTGGACAAACATCCCTTTAGTAAACCTCCCCTTAGTGGAAACAGCCTGGGACCGAAACCGACGGACCCGGACCCGCAAAAATGGCGGCCGCGACGCCCCCTCGCGAACCGAAAACGGCCAATTCCTCAGTTGACGTGTCAGGGTAGGAGGTCTATCCAACTGCGATTCTCGTGCCCCTCAACTCCGAGATCACTCTCAATACGGCTTGAGAGCCCGGAATCGAATCGATAAGTCGGATCGGCGATCGAAATGATTCGGATCGGCGGAAATCGGCAGCCGAGTCGGGAAAAATCGAATCGGCAGAAATCGGCAGGCTGAGATGCCTCCAATAAGAAATCGGAACCCAAATCGGAATCCCAAGTCGGATCGAATCGGAATCGGAAACCATCGAAATCGAATCGAATCGAATCGGAGGAATCGAAACGAGCCCTGATACGGCCACCGTCCTGGCGCCACCTCGCATGCCTTCTCACGGGCGCCATGCTTCTCTCGACTACGAGACGACAGCGCCACAGCGCCGCGCGGGGACATGCGGTCGGCCAGTCGGGCCACAGGCCTTCCAGCATCTCTTGAGCAGGGACCGACCGTCCCGGCATTCCTACAGTCCTACCACGAAATGTTCTTAGAACCCAAAAATGTTCGAATGACAAAAACACTGTTCTTAGAACATAGACCCGATGTGTTAAAACAAGACAGTCCCGGCCAGACATGTTCTAAGACAAATTCGTGGGGACCACAAAAGGTTCTTAGAACATTGTTTCGTGGGGCTATAGGCGAGCCGGGACGCTTCGCCACTGCTTGAATCTCTAGCACAGCCTCACGAGGCACGCGGCGTCGCACGCCCCGCTGGTCATACACTCCGTACCATCCTCGGAGCGCCCTGTGGCAGAGAGAGGGGGGGAGGAGCAGGAGGGGGAGGGGAAGGGGAACGTACAAAACGACTGACTCCGGCGCGCCCAGGCGCGCCACGAGCCGCAGCCGCAGCGCCTCGCGCGTCGTCGGGAAGGGCCCGTGCACGTTGGGGAGGACCCCGGGCGTCAGCCAGTGGGACCGCCAGCGCGGCGACCGGGGGGCCCGCCGGCCCGCGCCCCTGGCGCCCCCGCGGCGGCAGGCCCCGCAGGGGCCGAGGCGCCCGGGGCGGGCGCCACCCTCGGGGCGACAGCGGGCCCCGCGGGGCCCTCCCGAGCGGCCCCGCCAGTGGCCGCCAAGGCGGCAGCCAGACCTGCCAGGCCGCCTGGCGCCGGGGCGCCGCCCGCGGGCGCCGCCGGGAGGCCAGACGCCTGCGTGGCGCCGTCGCGCGTCCTCGCGCGGCCGCTTCGGGTCGGTCTCGGCTCCGTGCTGCTGCCGCCGGGTCCCGCGCACGTTCCGAGTCAATTCGGCTTCCTTGCCTCATCCTGCCTGGAGTGCGGCTGCCAGGACCGCCGCACAGGCGATGGGCGGACTGGCAAGCAACAGTCTCTTCGAGCTCCGCTCGTATGCCAGCGGCGCGCGGTCCATGCCGTTGCCCTGCGGCCCTGCAGGGGCACGCGTTGTCCTCGGTGACACGCTTGGCCAAAGGGCCCGCGCAGGAACCAACGCGAGCGTGCCGAGCGGAGCGTAGTGGGGTATCTCGCGTCTTGGGGCTCGTTGAATATTGGCGACGCCAGCGATCCCACGATGAGCAGGTGTGTGAGACGCGACCCCTCCGTCGCAACACTCCTGCCTTTTGACGCGACCCCATGACCTGAGCGCCCCGACCTCCCAGAAGTTCCCCGACCAACTATTCAAACGCGTACACATCAGCAGCGCATGCGCCACCGACCGTTCCAATGCACGAGGACCCGCAGGCATGAACGCTCCTCTTGGCAAACTTCGGGGATGGACAGACCTCCCTTTAGTGAAACGTGGTTTAGTGAAAACGACCTGAGGCCCAAACCTGGCGGGCGCAGGCCTGGAAAATAGCGACCGCGGCGCCCTCTCAAGAACCGAAAAAGGACAATTCACTAATCGACGTGTCACTGCTGGGGGTTCTGCCCACCCCCAAAAACGGTTGGCAGCACCCGGGGCCCCGCCCTCCGGCGGGCCGGCGACCACCAGACCTGCTATAGGACGGCTGCTGCGGGCGGAGCGGCAGGGCCTCCAGCGCCCGCACGCCCCACGGTCACGGCAAAACGAAGGTTGATCGCACTCATGCGAGCGGCGGCAGCCGTCCGACCAGCGAGCACAGCATGGAGAAGCGGAAATGCAACGAAAACCGCAGAACATCTGACAGCCGATGGCGGGCGCGCCGCCACCTGAGACACCACCGTTGAGGGTGGTTCCCGCCATGATGCCACCGCCTGGCAGGAAGTCCTCCTCGCAGCAGCCGTCGTCTGGTGTGATTCCAGTGAACGAATGAGGAGGGATGGCGTGGACCAGCAGCACCAAGCGCTCGTGCCACAGCGGAGCGCCTTCAACGTCGCGAGGCCGTGAGGGGCCGGCGCGGGCAGAGGCGGCGCCGCCAGGGCGCTCGCCGCGCGCGGCAGCGAAGCGACGCTCCCGCACCGCCGCACCGCAGCAGCCTGGGCCCTGGCCTCCTCGTCGAAAGGCCCGAAGGCGGAGCTGGACCCTGCCAGCGCCTCGGCGGAAAGATGCGCCTGCCAGCGCCTGGCAGCGCGCTGGCCGCCGTCGAAGGGGAGGCAGAAGCAGAGCCTGAGGCGGGCACACCACCGCCGGCAGCAGCCGGCCCGCAAAAAAGCCCACTGTGCACCCCAGCGCCAGGCCGACGACGAGGAAGCCCACTGCGATGGCTGCCCCGGTCGCGGCCGCCTGAGGGAACGAAGCCCCGCGGAGCACTGGCAGCCGCCGCAGGTCAGCGGCGGACACGCGGGAAGATCGGGGGAGGAAACATCGGGACACGCGGGGCAGACCGCGGCCAACGAGGCGGTGTAGCAAAGGACATCCAGCGCGATAGATTCCTTCAACCCTTCCCACAATATGTTGTGCTACGTCTGGCAGATTATGAGAGCTTGAGCCGGCACATGAGTGGCCCTTCTGCGCTGCTGCATGCTTTCCTATGTGGAATGTCAAATACGATGAAGGAACACGAGAGAGAGAGAGAGAAAGAAGCGGAGGTAAGTGGGGAAAAGGAAACAATACGCATCGACAATCGACGTGACTTTTAGCGCATCCAATTCGGAAACATTCAGATCCTCCCCATCCGTCCCCCGGACTCGCCATTGTCGCATCATAGGAGAAACTCGCTCAGTCAGGTCCTCTGGCTCCGTCATCTGCAGGTCGAAGCAGATTTCCTGCCCCCTTTTCCACTCGTCCCCAGCGGATGGGACGGTGGCCGACTGAATGAGCCAGGGGCAAGGGAGGGGATGAGATGAAGAGAGACGGGGAGAGTTTGGGAAAATAAAAATGGGTGGTTAGAGCTGCGCTCGGTGCAGGGTGGATCAACGGCAAATGACCCCACCTAAGATGAGGCAGTATGAGAACGGCTCGACTGAGACCCCCCTCTTCTTGGGGTGGAGGCCTTTCTCGAGCCGTCTCCAGTTCTCGCTCTTGTGAGGCTCAGCGAGAGGCCTGCGTGCCCCCAGAATAAAGGAAAGAAAGAAGGAACGGCGAGGAGAATGACTAGGGTTGGGACGGGAAGGAGAGGGGGAGCTGAGGGTGTAATCCAACAAGCCCTCCGAGCGCAAGTCGTTGAGCGCATCTTCTTCCCCTTCTGGGGAAGGGCATGAACTCCTCCTCCTCTCTGGGCCCGCTTCCGTGAGTCCTGTGGGGTGGTTCGGTGCGAGGTGTCAGAAAGTCTGTTTTTTGTGTCACCCGCCCGCGGCGTTGCTTTTCGCGCCGCGCGCGCGCGCCGCGCCACGAGACGCCCAGGGCCCGTGGCCGCCGGACGGTTACACCCTGGCCTGGTGCCCAGGAGGCCGCGGCCTGTGGACGGCGGTGCGCCCGGGGCACCCGCCTGCAGGACAGCCCCAAAGCCCAGTGTCAGAAAGTCTGCTTTGACCCAAGAAGGTTCCATTTCACGTGCCGCGAGAGGGGCCACAGTGGACCAACACCGCGTCCAACATGCCTCTCAAGTGACCGACTCCTGCTTTAGCCCGCTCTCCGCCCCTTCTTGCGTTGCATGTTCGAAAGACCTCGCCTGCTCCGCAGATTCGTGCTTGTTCGCGTGCCCGACGCGGGCTCGATGGGGCCTCGACGCGGATTTGGCGTGGATTCGACGAGGATTCGACACGGATTCGACACGTCCGACATGGATTCAGCAAGGATTCGACGCGGATAGGGGCGCGACGGGACATGCAAGGCCCCCCGGAGATGCAATCTAACCCTTCCTCTTGCACTGCACGAAGGAGGAACTCCGAGCACGAGATGCAAGCGGCACCATTCCGCGCGGACTGCCTCCGCCGCCCCCAGCGGGAGCAAAGGAAAAGCGGTGGGCGGATGAGACACGCGATCCCCCCTGATCCTCCCTGATCCAACAGGGTCCGTGGGTCGCTTCGGGAAGGTCATCCTCTGCCCCCCTCCTCCTCCTCCTCCTCCTCCTCATCCTCATCCTCCTCCTCCTTCTCCTCCTCCTCCTCCTGCTCTTCCCCCTCCTCTTCCTCCTCTTCCTCCTCCTGCTCCTCCTCCACAATTACACAATATGGATACTACTCTCCTTTCTCCTCTGATGACGTCCGGAAAGTATTCGGCCCCCCTCCGCGCACTGTTTTCTACACACAGGATCCCCCCTACCTGGGATTTCGCTTAGTTCTTTTTCAACATGCTGTTACCGCTGAAGCACTAGCCTCATTTTCGGCCTTCCGCTCGTTCCAAATCGTGCTCCCCTTCATCGCTGGCCTCATGTTCGGCCTTCCGCTCGTTTCGAATCGTGCTCCCGCTGCAGCGCTGGCCTCATTTCCTGGTTTCCATATGTATTTCGAGCGATCCGATTCTTTTGGGTCATTCAAAATGTTGCTCCCGCTGCAGCGCTGGCCCCATTTCTGCGCCTCTGCATGTTCCAAAACGTGATCCCGCTGCAGCGCGGGCGTTTTCGGTCCTTCCACATACGCCCCAAATCTAGAAACCGACTCCCCAAAAAAACATCGCAAGTGATCACACATCCGGTGCCGATTCGTTGAGTTGTTGGGTCGCAGAAGGGCCCCCTTCGAGGCGGCGCTTAGAGGAAGTATCAAGCGGGACCCCCGTTTCTGCTTTCAGAAGGCGATGCTGCAAGCAGAGAGCGGGTGCTCTCCATCAGCCCCGACTTGTGGGGAGCTAGTCGCGGAGCCCAGGGATGAAGCGGCCCCAGGACACACAAATAAAAGGATTCCCCATATTTTCCTATATTTTCTGGGTTTTTGTCTTCCCCCCCCACTTCCCATAGTTTCCCATATTTTCTGGGGAATCGACGATTAATTGTGTCTGTGTGTTTTTTTCCCTCCTGAAGGGAGCTAAACATGGAGCCGCGACTCCCGACCGGCCCCGACCCTTCGAAGACTATCCACTTACCCTCCAAGGAACTAGTGCCCTGTCATGACATGCTGTACGGTGTTCTGTTATGCGCCGCTGTGCGCTGGCATGCTTTGTGTTGCAATGCTTTGTGATGCAATGCTTCACTACGCAATGCCACGCCAGGCTATGACATTATACGCACTGCCGTGCTCTTCTATGCCATGCCATGGCGTGCTCTACGATGCATCGCGCACCCTTTCGCGATCATTGCCCTGCTCGACATCCGACTGTGCGGATAGAGATCAGATCTGCGCCATGGTAAGGGATGGGAGGGAGGGGCAGGACGTCAGATATGACGCGAGCGCACCTAGTTTGTCCCCACCCCCTCCTCCTCCCCCTCCTCCTCCCCCTCCCCCTCCTCCTCCTCCTCCTCCTCCTCCTCCTCCTCCTAATTACTCCTCCTCCCCCGGGCACAGGACGAGTCGGAGACAGAGCTGGCAGGGGGTCTTAGCCTCCTTCCGCAAGGCCCGCCGCGCGCGGCCGTGCGCGGCCGGGCGCCCCGAGGAGGAACGCAGCAGCAGGACAACGCGGGACGGGGACGCTCCCCCTCCAGCGGGGCCCCCCGTGGCGGCGCGGAGCTGCGGCAGGTCCGCGCCGCGCCGGCGCGGCGGCGATCCCGCCGCGGGAGCTCCGGGCGGAAGGCCGCCAGCGCGGCCGCTGGCGGCCGCCGTCGAGGCCGCAGCGGCGGTCTCGGCGGTCGCCGCGGCGGCACTTGCGGTGCGGGAGGCGCTGGGGGCGGAGGGTGGGAGGGCGAGCGGGGTGCACGAGGGGCCCCGTGGCCCCCCCCGGCCTGGCAGACGCCCTCCCTCCCTCCGCCTCCGCGCGCGGGGGTCCTCGACGTCTGCTCGCCACCAGTACGGGTTCTCCTCCAGCTTCTCGATGCCCCAAAACATGTTGGACTCCCGCGGCGGCGGCCCGCCGGGCCGCCGCCTGAAGGGTGGCCTGAGGAGCGCCGTGCGGGGCCCCCATCCGTCCTCCCTCCTCTGCCCCGCCTCCCTCCGTCCTCCCTCCCTGTCCTTCCGTTCTCTCTATCGGCCCCGAGGAGGCGAGGCCCACCTCTCTCGCATGCAGACCACGGCGCTCGCCCACGGCATCGTCCCACCGCCTCCCTCCCTCCCTCCCTCCCCTCCCCCTCCTCCATCTGCTCCTGCTCCTTTAGCCCCTCCCTCATCTCTGCGCTCCCTTGTCCACGTCCCTTCTCCTCTGCGCCTGCCCATAATTCTGGCGCCGGTCGGTCTGGGAGAACTGGCAACTGTGAACTGGGTCGGGAGCCCGCTTCTTCTTCTTCGGCAATCAAGCATCGCGCCTCTGCTCATCGTGGCCGCCGGCCGACCAGCCGACCATCGAGAGCCGAGGCCGCACTTCCGGACCCCCCACGAAACCGCCAAACAGTGCACCAGGAATTCTTCGTTTTGTTTGGTTGCAGAGAGCTGGCTCTCCTCCTCCTCCTCCTCCTCCTCCTCCTCCTCCTCCTCCTCCTCCTCCTCCTCCTCCTCCTCTCTCCTCCTCTCTCCTCATCGCTCCTCATCGCTCCTCCTCTCTACTCCTTTTTCGTCCTCTTTCTTGGGCCTTTAAGATTTTCGGTCGGTGCCTGGACGTGCCCGCCTCGTGGGCGGCCCGTGCGATGGCTGGGTTGTCCCCGAGCTCCCGCTCCGCGCACGCCCGTGGGCGGCCCCGCGCGCCGGCGGAAGTTGGTCTGGCTGGTCGGCCAGTGCCCTGCGTGGGCCGTGCCGCGTCAGAGCGAGGGGGCCGAAGGGTCATTCGTTGTCCCTGGGTGCGTGGCCGAAATGAGAATCCGTGGTGGTGATTCTGCTTGTTGCGCTGTTGCTGTTGTTGCTGTTGTTGTTTATTGTCGTCGTCCCCCCCGCGACCCACCCCGCGACCCACCCACATTAGTTTGAATAAAACATCGGCGCCTGCGGCGGGCTCGTTATAATTTGTGAGACTTTGGCGCCTGCGGCGGGCTTCTACAAAGTCTCGCAGACTGCCGACGTCTCCACCGCCCCCTTACTCTTCTCCGCATCTGCGTGGTGCTAATACAGTGGACAACAAAGCACGCAGTCGCCACACGGGCTGCGCCTCGGATACTGCATCACACAGATTGCACCCCGTCCCTGTGTGTTGATCGCACCCTGTGAGCTGCAACGCACAAAACTGCACCATGCGCATGCGCCACAACCGTCGCACATCGATAGCGCAAGAAATTACCGCGCACGCCGCACCCATCACAACGACGCCCACCGCGCCACCAGGTGTGCGGAGTGACCGAGTACCGCTGCGGTGCTTAGCGCTCTCCAGCGGCCAGGCTGGCCGATAGAAGGATCCAGGGGCGCGCCTCCTCCCCCTCCCTCCTCCTCCTCCACCTCCTCTCCCTCCTCCTCCTCCTCCTCAGCTTCCTCCTCCTCCTCCTCCTCCTCCTCCTCCTCCTTCTCCTCAACTTCCTCCTCCTCCTCCTCAACTTCCTCCTCCTTCTCCTCCTCCTCCTTTTTCATCGTCCTCCTCCTCCTCCAGCTCCTCATCCTCCTCCTCCTCTCATCCCCCCTCCTCCCAGACAGGATCTTCGGGGTGGCTCCTCCTCCTCACTCTCTCTCTCTCTCTTCTCGACCGCCGCCCCGGCTCGAGGTTCTGGGCGCGGCTGCCAGGCATATGCGAACCTCGCTCGGGGCAGCTGCCAGAAGCATCGGTCCGCGCCCGTGTGGCGTGCAAGCCCGGCAGTGATCCGCTTGCTGCCGCGCGGCCGACGCCGAGCCTGCGCTGACAGGGGCTCATCACACGCCACGCGAGGCGGAGCCGGCCTGACACAAGCAGGCCAGGACACAGCGCGCAGCCGCGCGTGTCCTGGTCCGCGTGGCGGCGACACGAGGCCATCTGCAGGAGCATCACGGCAGCGAGGTGCACCCGCGCGGCGCGCGACGGCTACTGCAGGTGGACGCGCGGCTGCCAAGGGCGGAGGCGAGAGGCAGGCCTGGGTCGGAGGACCTGCAGGCGGCTGGCTCCCGCCACCGCCTGCCGTGCAACCTGGCACGTGGTGGTGCCCCGCGTGCGGCCACCCCAACGCTCCGGACAATGCAGCCGTGCGTACACTGCCTGCCGTTGCGGGCGGAGCCGCCCTGGGAGCCGCCCTGCCGCTCGACGGGCGCAGGCGGCGGCGCGCGCGGCGGACGCTGCGCTGCCTCAGAGCAATCGCAGAGTCGCCCCGCGGAGCCCGGAGCTGAGCCCGAGCCAGGGTGAGGAGCTGAGCCCGAGCCTGGGTGCAGCCGCCAACGGAGCCCGCCGCGCTGGCCATACATCATACTACGCTCAGACGGGCCGCCATCGCGATGGCGAAAGCGCTGCGAGCGTCCAAGATGCTGAACATGTCCAAGGCCCAGGTCACCCTGCAGGAGCAGACATATGCCCTCCTGATGTGCATGATACTGATGGCCCGGAAGCTGCGGGGGCGAATTAGCAAGCAAACGGGCTTCTTGACCAGGGCCACGAACAGTCGTGGCAAGGAGGTCGAGGCTGTGAGCAAAGCTAGGCTGGAGCTGGTGCAGATGTCCAAAGACCAACTGCTGCTAGACCAACTTCAGGCGCTGACGCCGCCGGCCGAGGATGTCGAGATGGAGCCGCCACCAGATGCTGATCGGTCTCCTGGTGGAGCTGGTGAGCCCGCAGGAGGCACCGCACCCCCAGAAGCTGGGTTTGCTGTGCCCGCGACGCCACCTGCGCAGGCGATGCCCATGTCAGGGAGTGCCGCGTCGCGGCCATCGCGGAGCTCCAGCACAACCAAAACACGATGGCGATGCAGAGGTAGTTCCTCAGCGGCGTCCTCAACATCCAGACTGCCACCTGTCGCCTTTCCGGCATGGCGCCGACTGCTGCGCAGGCAGGTCAGCCGCCGACGGCGCAGCCGGTCGCCGCCGCAGAGTTGCTGTCGATCGAGGCGAACGCGGCGCAGGCGCAGCTGGAGGCCCAGCGACTGCGATGCCACAGGAGTTAGCACCTGGGTAGTCCCCGACGGCTGAGGTAGCGCGTGACAGGCGCCAGGAGAATGCAGTGAATGCGGCAGAAGATGCGGCCGCCGTGCAGGAGGCGGCGGCGGCGGCGGGAGTGCAGCCAGCGCCGTTAGGAGGTGTCGAGCCAGATGAAGATACGAGGCGGGCGGCTTAGCGGCAGCAGGAAGAGGCCTGTGTCGGCTACCCTGCTGCTGCTGCTGACGCCGCAGCGCGAGCCCCCGACATCCTGAGACGTCCCCTCCAGCCGTCCTCGCACCTGCCGACGCTCATTGCACCGTGCACGAAGAGGCGCTGCAGCAGGTCTTGAGGGAGGCCGCTGAGGCGCAGCAGGTTAAGCGCGCTGCTGCCAAGGCCGCTGCCGAGACAAGGCGGGCGGGCGCCGAGGCCACCAGGGCGAGGCTGGCAGCCCAAGGCTCAGCGGCCGATGGCCAGCCGACGCTCGCGGCGACCGTGATGAAGAAGATGGCTGCGGTGACGACACCATGTGCTGAACAGCATCGAGGGCCTGGAGATGGGGTGCCAGGATTTCATGTGGCGGCGCGCCTGGTGCTTGGCGAACGAGCGCCATCACCGCAAGGCCGAGATGAACCAAGCGCTCGGGACTCCCGTGGTAGCAGCAGGGATCGCAGCCAGAGAGGCGAGCGCGGTCGCAGCAGGTGCCCTCAGTCAAGAGGAGATGGAGGAGTCGCACCGGAAGCCTTTCGGCTTGACGTAGATGACTCGGTCGAGCCACACCTGAAAGAAACTGCTCACCCCAGCGATGACAGGGTCGCGACCTCGATGCCGTCCGATCCGATCTCCGACGAATCCCTGAGGGCGTCGGGGTGAGCCTGCTGAGCGAGACGGCGACGGTAAGCGGGCCGCCCGTCTATCAGATGGGCCGCGCGGGCGCATTTTGCAGCGGCATGATGCTGGCCAGCATCATCCTGAATTGGTCTGACATTTTGTCATGTTCATGCTGCATGGCCAAATCATGCCACCCTCACACCTCGTTTTTCCACCGGGAGGTACAGCAACCAGAGCATTGCCATTCCTCCCCCCCACCTCCACTCCTCCACACAACAACTGTTCTTGCATCACGGGTGTGTTCCCCCCATTACCACTTTTGATATTGGCAGGCATGGCGTGTTTACCCACGCTTCAGGTGCATCGACGAATGCCCGTATTGAAGGCCTCCGTCTAGGGCGTTTGTGGTTTGTTGGGATATTTCGGGACGAGCGCCCTCATGGAGCGGGGTATCTGCCGCCCCCAGCTGCCAACCTTCAGGAAGAATTCGCAAGTGCGTCAGGACCAGCTGAGTTGCGGGCCCCCAGCTGGTTCCGAGAGTTGCCCGTGCAGGTCCACACGGACAACCATATGGAGGTCGAAGTGGTTGCTGTAGGGGTTGAGTATCAATCCTGTGGAATGTTGCCAAAAATCTTGGATGAGTTGGTCTAACTGCTTTGGAAGGATCTTCGGCTGGCTTGGATGCACGTCCTGGGACACGTAGGCCACCGACTAAATGAGCTTGTGGATACGATCGCTCGCCTATCGTCCGTGGGCCTGGCTCCGCCTGCTTCACACGATGTTGTGCCGTGGGATTTCTTGCGTGCTCAATTGCATGTCGTACTGTGGCTGTGGATATCGGAGATGTGCAACCGTGGTGCCTGGGCGTACCCTCGAACACTCCCTGCCAGACTGAGATCACTCCGCCATCGTTTTCTTCTGCTGACACCAGCTGACGTGTTCTCGTCGTCTGCTGCAGAATGCGGATCGAATTCGCCGGCCCAACGGGCCAGAGGCGTGCTAAGATCTCCGGTAACTGGTTAACAATTTTCTAGTTCGCGCGCGCGGGGCGGCCCCTGGGGGTCCCCGGACGAAAAGTACCCCGACCAGGTCCCGGCCGGTCCCCGGCCGGGTCCCGGCCGGGTCCCGGCCGGGTCCCGGCCGGGTCCCGGCCGGGTCCCCCCGAGCGCTCCATGAGCGCACCAACAGGGCTCCGAGACGTCCCCGAGAGCCCCAAGAAAGGCCAAGAGGCCCCCAAGAGGCCCCCAAGATGGTACACGAGGGGTCCGACATGCCACAAGATCGCTCCAAGACGCCCAAGATAGCCCCCAGACGCCCCAAGAGGCCTCCAAGAGCACTCCCAATAGGGCCCCCGGAGGCAAAAATCATTGTTTTTCCATAGGTTTTTGAGAGATTTTGGAGCTTCCACCTTTTCGGCTTCCCGACGCCCCAAGACGGCCCAAGAGGCCCCCAAGATCGCCCCAAGAGGGCCCAAGAGGCACCCAAGAGGGCCCCAAGATGGCCCAAGAGGGCTCGAAGACGGCCCAAGAAGCCTCCAAAACGGTCCAAGAGGGCCCCAAGAACGCCCCCAAAGGGGCCCCAGAGAGGGAACACGAAACAACATTTCGAGCCCTCGGCCCTAAGAAGCCCCTACGAGGCCCCTAAGAGGCCCCAAGAGGCCCCCACGGGGCCCTCAGGAGGCCCCCAAGAGTCCCCCAAGCGGCCCCAGGAGGCCCCCCAAATGCCCCCCCGAGCGCCCCAGGAGTCCCCCAAGCGGCCCCAGGAACCCCCAAAGCGCCGCATTGACACCAGGCCCTCGGGCAAACGGCAGACATGAGACTGTATGGGCCGGCGGAATGAGCGAAGCGATTAAATAATGGTGAGGATCTGCCTCGGGCCGCCGATGGGGCAAGATGCAGTCGAGTGCGACTGGCAGTAGCCAACGTCCTGACGCTGTGCCCCCGCAGGGCAAAGGTAGAAGGAGGCGGGTCCCGCCTCAGGCGCAGATGCCAGGATGCGGCAGGCATTGACATCCCTGCACGAGTAGTTCGCCAGCAGTACCTGATCGGTAGTTGGTGCCTTGGAGACACGACTAAAGCACAGCAGGTGGAGGATGGCGACCGACTATCATGTGGTGATATCGGCTGCCGAACCATCTGGACATTGTGGGGTGGCGCTTTGAGCCCATGAACGCATGCAATTATCACTTCAAAATATGCTGGCACGGTATCATGCTCGGGTGTACGCACACTCGTCTCGACACGTGTTAGCCGCCCTTTCGGGCCTCAATTTTGTGCATTGCCGTCTTCGTTTTGCACGCGCGCCACATTCACGTGAGACGGCGACAGAGGTAGAAGCATTGTTCGGCAGCGAGCCTGGGGGGCAAATGAAAAGACGCTGGCCTTCTCAGAAGGCTCGGAAGTTCCCTGGCCTTCAGAGACACCTCCGAAGACACATAATATGTATCAGAAGGCGCGAGGGCTGCTAAGAAGTCCCGCCACCTTCTGAGAAGGCCTTCTCCTTCTCACTCCCCCCCCCTCGCTCGCCGCCGAATGTTGGAAGCAGTTGGAACAGGAGGTGCGATAAAAACCCAACTGGCCGCACCCCTACATCGCATACTGGATGCGAATGCTACGCTGGGTTCGCGGAAGGCAAGATCGGTTTCGGCGCGGTCGGGGCCGACGCCGAGCCCATGCCAGGGGTTAGTTGTTCACGCGCTCCTGAAACGGACCGATCAAACAGCGGTGTCGACGTGGTTGAACCAGCTTCGGGAATCCATGGGACCTGCAGTCCTCCTGGAGCGGCACCACAAGATCCTGGGCACATAGTCGACTGCGTGATAATTCCAGCTGGCATGCTGCCGCTCGTGGGCGATCAGGGGGTGGATCCTGCCGTGGACCTTTCGATGCGCGCCGATGACGTCTTTGTGGTTATGGCCGACGTACGGCTGCCAGAAGATGGGAACCCTGCTGGCACACGAAAAAGGCCCAAAATTCCACGCGACCAAGAAGCTTGATGATCAGGGGTGTGCCGGTAAACAGCGGTGCACGATGCGTAATACATGCCAGACGAATCGAGCGTTCCAGACAAGTACATGTCAGACAATTGCGTAATCTACGCCAGACAGTGGATGCGTAATACATGCGTTTCAACTGCACCCCGACGACCATGCCGAGTTTCTCAGTCAGGAATTGGCCAAGACAGTTACCTCGCGTTGCCCCCACAGCGTTCGGACAAAGCGAATGAAGCCAGGCAGGATCGGTCGTCTGCTCAGACATTCTCGCTCATGGGCTGTCGCTCCAACGGACACGTCGACTTGCGACGGCTCCGACACCGGCCGAAGCAACTTCGACTTGCAATTGCGTTCGTGGCATAGGCATCAGACAAGAAGGCTGCACAATTATGAGTATGCGTGCGTACGTGACAACTACTTTTCGTATCACGAAGATCCCTCGCATGCGATGCTGCATGACTGCTGTGAAACAATTGCAAAAGCTAATACGTCCGTGTTGGTAGCTTCGCGTGCGTTTACCACGCCGCTGAAGGATGACAAAGGTCGAATGTACCTCCCCCCCTCTCCCGCGACCAGCTGGGTGGCTGCGTAGGCAGCCTGCTCAGGACTATCTATCCCGAAGGTGCACCGGCCTACAGCTCAGGGATTCGGATCCACGGGGCTCAGATCTGTTTCCAGTGCAACAGGTTGCACTGTATGTTTAGGTGGTTCTGGTTATGGCAAGGCTTTCCCTGGTCGTAATCGTGTTTTTTTCCTGCGGGCTGCAGCGTTTGCGATTCAGAAACCGACCTCCCCGGACTCAACGGCGCATTGCAACGTGATTGTTTGGGATGCCCTGGATGCCTGGGACCGGAGACAGTTCGCGGCTG